TTTAACATAATATTATGGATAGAGTTTAATTAAGTGTTTGAAAGATTCATTTAACTATTTTTAAATTAATGCCTATATTGCCATGAAGCAATTAGGATTTTCTTACCTGGGATCTTCCTATTGGTGACCTAATAAAAATGACCGACTTGGATGTGGGCGGAGTTAGATATGTACTTGATTAATGGTAGCATGTTATTATTAGCCATTAGCCGCAGCTAGCAAGGCTAACGTCACGTTAATGATCATAAACAACGTAAATAAATACATGAATAAATCAGAGAGAAGGGGGGGGTGTCGATACTTTTGAAAATCGTATCCGGATACAACATTTTAGTATCGATACTTTTTCGAGTATTGATACTTTTGACAACCCCAATCCTGAGTTTATTTACATTTTTTTTTACATTTGAACTTATTCTATCTTACTTTATTTTCATTCTATTTTATTGGATTGTGTTTATGTATATATTATATATTGTATAGATTACTATTTGTATAGACTCAGACTTTTGCTTTGGACTACAGCCTTACCCGGTACTCCTTGAACTCCCCCCGGACAGAGCCGGGCTCCACGGGCGTCCAGTGGAGGGTCGCGGTGGTGCTGTCCACCTTCGACACGCGCAGGTCTGCGGGGGCCTCGGTCGGCTCTGGACACGAAATGAGACATTAAATACACTCTGGACACGAAATGAGACAATGAAAAACGCTCTGGACACGAAATGAGACATTAAAAACGCTCTGGACACGAAATGAGACAAAACGCTCTGGACACGAAATGAGACAATCAAGAAATGAGACAATCAAAACGCTCTGGACACGAAATGAGACAATGAAAACGCTCTGGACACGAAATGAGACATTAAAAACGCTCTGGACACGAAATGAGACAAAACGCTCTGGACACGAAATGAGACAATCAAGAAATGAGACAATGAAAACGCTCTGGACACGAAATGAGACAATGAAAACGCTCTGGACACGAAATGAGACAATCAAAACGCTCTGGACACGAAATGAGACAATCAAAACGTTCTGGACACGAAATGAGACAATCAAAACGCTCTGGACACGAAAT